TAAAAAAAATATAGGCTCCATGCCCAATGTGGGGCTTGAACTCACAACCCCAAGACCGAGAATGGCATGCTCTACCGACTGAACAGCCAGGTGCCCCTTATTCATCTTCTACCTTTGGGTTGAGCACGGTGTTTGGCACAAGACAAACACCCACTGATGGTTTGTTGATTGAATGAAAGGAGAAATGAATGAATGAGTCACCACATGCTAGGAGTGAAGTTCAAAGGTAGGGGAGCAGGGCATAAAACGGAAGCCTTCCATTATCTCTCGTCTCCTCTGTTTTCTTCAGGCTTGAGTACAGGCTCCCCTACAAAGCACAGGCAGACCCCAAATCTTTCCCTCCATCCAACCCTTCAAAGAGCTTGGTATATCGTTGGCCGAGATGGGTCACCATGACGACCAGCCGGTGCAGGGCAGAAGCCGTGCAGTGAACCTTATTCCTCTTCCCCAGGAGCCTTGGAGGAAGCAAGGGTTTCTCACTTTCTTTATCGCCTCCAGAGGCTCATTGGCATCCCACCCCACAGTGGAACGCAACCCAGCTAGCTGGGAAGGATGGTCTTCCGGCTGACAAGCCTGGGGGACTGCTAAAGCCAGTCTGCAGCAGACGCTAAAAGTGAAAGTCCTCTCACCAACTCATCAGATAATAATTAGGACCGAGTGCCTGGTTAGGTGGAGATCATTAGCCTCCAACAACGTGGCATACACATAAGGAAGCCATTACACTAACAAAACTGCAAATGTAAAAATAGAGCTCCACATAGTTTCCTGGTTACCACATTCTAATTCTGATGGTTTTTCAATGCCAGTGAAATTTGGTTTCCTTTGTCCCCCGCCATGCCCTGGTTCCTCTGCGTGTGTACTTGTTGTGGGAGGCAATGGCTTACTTTCTAGATGCCCAGTCTCTACCCCCGTAAACCTCTACAAGTCTTTCCATGGAGTGCGTGTTGCTGCTCTGTTTTCAGGGTCACAATGGTCCCAAGACCACTGCTGGGGCCCAGGCCAGCAGAAGCCTCAAAAGGGCCCAGCCCCCAGCCAAGAGGAACACCCAACCACAAGCATACAGGGGACAAAGAAGGCAGAAATGGCATGTCCAATGACAAGGGTCAGGCTGTGTTCTATGCCCCAGCTTTGCCCACCAGAGCAAAACACCGAGACGAAGCTAAGACAAACTCTCTGGACAATCCCAGGTTTGCCAAAAGCAAGCTCATTCTCTTCCTGGGGCAGCCAAAGGATAGGTAGAGCCGGTGCCCGGCAGGATGGAGTCTCCTGTATCTCTCGTGGGCACCACAGTCACCCTCTGGGTATTTCTTAAATGTTGCAAGAAAATCAGCACACACACCCAAACGCTGCGGAGAGTTTAGATTCTGACCAGTGTAGTACCTGACAGGCATTCACCCATCCATTCATTCACCAGTCACTCATTCAGAGACACCTGCTGAGCACCTGCCGTGGGCCAGAGGCCAGACTGGGGATGCACCTGGGAACAAGCAGTGTCTCTGCTCTTACAGAATATCACTGTATCCGACTTTCAGGGGTCTTCTTGGTGAGTCTCACATTCTGGCTCCTGAGGCTCAGTCACCAGGACTACAAAGCATCAGGTGACTATAGGTCACTATGTTGTGACTATAGGGTGCCACAGGAAAGATGATATGTGTGGGAGCGGCCTGTGAAAAGTGGTCCCGGGAAACAGTCATCAGGCAGTTAGCCAAAGGCTCTGGACACCATTGCTGGTTCCCAGTACACCTTCACTGTTCATCTGGGCTTTGCTTGGAACCTGGCTCTTGCGTCTCAATCTCCCAGCTTGTTACTTTTTTGTCAGGCCCTCGGTGGCTCCCGAAACCGACCCCTGGATACACAGGGCACCCACTGGTCGCTTTCCTAGCCTGACTCTGAAGTGCTGCTTGATTTGATGGACCAACCCTGGGTTGAGTCAAGCATGGCAGAAACTCAAAGTGCAATTCACAGGTTGACGTCTCATTGTTAAGAGAGGGACCTGTATTAGCAAAGTCACTTCTTCCACATGGGCAGTGGGGAGACATCTAGTCCAGTGGCCTCCCCACCCCCAAGAGGAAGTCTTTCCCCCAGAACACTTACCTGTGTAGGAGAAGCTCTCCTCGGTCCCACCAGGGGGGCCAGAATAGCCATCGAGGGCCCAGCTAGCTTGGGGGACGGGACCAGGTTCCTGGTCTGTCTGAAGCCTGTGGGACAGAGATCGGGTGGTCACTCATAGCAGGGGTTCTCCTGGCCTCAAAGCTTCTCCAAGGAGCTAAGGAAATCCCCTTGGAGCTCGGATCTTCTCCTCTGCTGTGCCCTGCACCCCTCTGGGCTGGACCCTCCCTGGCAGGCACGCACACGTGTGCACTCCAGCATGCAGCACGCCTTGGGCAAACTTTGGCCAGTGGTAGGGGCTCTGGGGGGGGAACTCCAGAGGGAACGGGGATGCCCGATGCCAGTCACCCTTTGGTATTCCACCCATTCCCAGGAACACAAATCACCCACAGGACAGAGGAAACCCATAGCAACTCCAGGCCTCGGGTCCTTCCTCCTGCTGCGATCCCTGCCTTCGGTCCATGCCTGCATTATAGCCATGCACACACAGAGGGAAGAGCTCCCTCTGAAGCTGAGGTCACTGACTCCTTATGACAGCTCAGGGGGCACACAGGCCTCCTTGGGCTTGCTCACAGCCCCGGGGAAGATGGAGGGGTAGGCTTAGTTGAGGTCACAATGACTCCAGGAGGATAAGTTCATGTTGGGCCAGTGTGGCAGCAGGAAGGAAGGGTGAGGTCTCCGGGCACCAGCTCCCAAGTGCATGCAGACTTCTGAGCACAACCCTAACCGTACAGTCGCTCCCAGGAACAAAGGCTGTGGGAGCTTTTATTATAGGCAATTACCCTGGGCTCTCAGAGCTGGCCCGCCCACCCGTCCGCCCGCTGTCTCCAGCTAAATGGACCCTTTGGCAGCTTGGTAGGAGGGGGAGGGGTGAGCTGTACACGCAGGAGGGGAAGTTGACGGCTGGTCCTGGGGACGGGGGCTGGGTCAGGGGACCCTGTGAGTCTCCAGTGCGACTGAAATTTCGTCTTCCTCTCTCCAGTTTTTCCTTTTTTCAACCTAGATGGCTGGGCCTCTGGGCTCAGCTCTGTTGTTAACTTGCTATGCAATGCAGAGCAAATCTTTTCTCTCTCTGGGTCCCGCTTCCATCATGGGATAGAAGAGATGACCTCCAAGGCCCTGGATGGCTCTTTCTAAGCCATGCAGGCAGTATTGAGTTCTTGTGTGTGTGCAGGCCCCTAAGGTGGGTGCTTGCAATAGAGCTGGGTGGGGGTACTCTGAGAAAGCAGGAGACCTCATCTTGCCCTGGGGACTGCTCAGTATGATGGGGTCATTCACCACGTACTACTATCAATTCAACGTCAGCCTGATGTTTGAGTATTATGGGGATAAAGAAAAGCTGAAGTCGCTTGGTTTCCTGGAAGAAATGAGTATAGATCTGGGGTTTTGAAGGAATGCAACACACTGCTGAGAAAGTAATAGGACATTCAACTGGGGAGAGGGAATTCTATACAATGTATACATGTTTCACTGAATAGCATTGTATATGTAGAGCTAGGCACCGCCTGACCCAGAGCAGGTAGGCAGTAACTAGCGTTAGAAATACAAATAGTTTGGGGTGCCTGGGTGGCTCAGTCGGTTAAGCGTCCCTGGCTCAG